CATCATCGACTCAGCTTGCAGTCTGCACACTGAAGGCACTAAGACCTAAGATGCTCTAAGGACGTAGATGGGGCGAAAAGAGCCGCGGAGGACCCGGACGAGTCTTCGTCGAGTTCTTAGTGCCGGCCGCAAGAGCCCGGACCCTGCACCGAGCAACCGCCTTCGACGACGGCGCGCCTCTGAGGCGGCGAAGATCTTCTAGCTGACCTCACTAGGCAGCGTCTGCGCCTCAAACTGGAAAGGAGACCACAGCAGAAGATCTGAGGCTTGCACGCACACCGTCTGAAACTTAGAAACTGTGCTGTGCAAAATGCATCGCTGCCAGTGTCACGGGATGTAACATCTTTGCAGGGCACGGAGCCGTGCCGCGAGGAAGTCAGAGATTCTGTTGGCTGAGTCGAAGCTCTTCAGGCAGCGGCTTGGCAAAGCATGTGAGTCCGAAAGGGATTCTCGAGGCACTTCCAGCTTCTCAGCCGCAAAGCACGAAAGATACGAAAGGAAACCAAGACCGCATCTACGCCGCCGTCAACGGCCGAGCTCAGCGAGTGCCGCATTGCAGCACTGAGGGCCTGCTCTTTTTGGAATGAAGCTCAACTTCCCTTATGCAAACACATGCCAAACAAAACACACGCACTTTCAGAATTTCAAGGGGCCCCCAGCGCGCTTCGCGTGGCCACTCGGCTCCAGCGCCGGGCGCCCCTCAGAAGGGCGGCGGCCCTTCGGTGGCTCAGGCTGTGCTCCAGCCTCCGCTGCGGGCTTCTTTCTGAACTCGCTGGGGCTTTATGGACCGCGCGGGTGGCCGGATGGTTGAAAACGGTCGCGCCGGTCGCGCCGTGCGATGGATGCCTTGGGCTCGAGGGCAGGACGCGAGAACGCGAGACGCGGACCCCACGGATCGCGGGAGGGAGAGAAGGCCGCTGCCTGCAGCCTGCAAAGCGAGAGCGGGAGCGCCTGCGGCCCGCTTAGAGCCTGCGGCCCCAAACTTCGAAACGGAATCGGCTCCCAAGACCGCCAAGCGTCTCTAAACTTGCGAGGCTACAGGGCTACCGATTCTCCGGCATTCGGTCTTTGGGAGGGCGCCTTGTGCGCTCGCGACCAGCAAGCACGATGACCCGACGATGACGTCTTGAAACCATCCGTGCTTGATACAGCCTGTCGTCTGTGAAGCGCTAAAGGCCAAACACTTTCCGCAGAGTAGAGAGGCTCATTCGGTCATTGCATCTAGCGCTGCAGGCGATTTGGGACGTTTGCCCGGTCCCCTTGCAGATCTTCGTTGCGTAAGTCAGGCGCTGGTGTAGGGGCATTGGTGACTCCTCTTATATGGCGGCCTTTGCAAAAAAAGCGGGAAGCCTCGATTCAATGTCTCATGCACTGCTGCCGGAGCTGTCATTCAGAGGCTCGTGGGCATGGAGAAATCGAAGAAATCGAAAAGAGCATTTAAACATGCAGGTATCAAGTGGAAACACGCAGTCTGCCAAGTTCTAATGCAGGCTGACGAAGTGCCTACAATGCCTACAATATGTCCAACATCTCGGCAGGAAGGTCCTGGATCACCTCGCCTCTTTGTGAGCACTCGTAGCTGGACAACGGCCACAAAAAGACTGCAGGGAGCCTGGAATAGCGCTTCCAAGCACCCGCGCTCACCAACAGAAACGACCAAGAAAGCAGCCGGACTCACTTGAACCCTCAGGTGATGCGGGCTACAAAAGGGGCTGCAAAGGTACGCCTTGCGATTGCACTTATGAGCCGGCCACAGACAGGACAGGCGAGGGCTTATCGAATTTTGGAGGGAGTGGCATCTCAGGCCCGGCTTCCCTTCTCTCCCTACAGCTGCAAAAGGGGTCCAAAGTCTACAGCAAGCACCCCACACCTCAGGCAAGGTGGTGCATGCTGGCATCTTGCGGCTATGTTGCACGACGTGTTTTTGTGGCCAGGCCCCTATCAATTCCGGAGCATCCCAAATTCAAACCTCCAATGTCTCTTGGGCCCCTACGATTCTAATTTCGGATGAAACAAACGCGACATCATGACTTACTTCGGTTGTGTCAGATGCCCATAGAACGAGTGCCCGCAGCTTCCTATATAAGACCTGTGCTGCAATGCACTGGGCATGGGGTTTAGGAGCTTTCTGGCTTCACGGCTTTGGCTTGAGGGGTTTGGGGACAAGGTGGTTTAAGCAATGATGGATATTGGCATCAGAAACAAAGGTAGGACTGCATCAGGCCACCACCCGGACGTCAGAATGCCCACGTTGCCTCATGAGCATGTTTTCAACAGGGCCTTTGAAGGAATCACTTCTGAAGTCAAGCCACATTGAATTTACAAAGCCTGCTTCCCGGCTCTGCTGTTCACCGAGGGGCCCGTGCTAGAAGGCATCTGCGCGTGAGGTGAACAGACGGCCTACGGCTTGGACATCCGTCAGCCTGAATCCGCTCAGCGAGCGCTTTTGGCATCCCGACGCTTGATAGAATCACTTGTCATCAACTCCGGAATCGTAAAGTGCCTGCCTCGAGATATGTCATGCACAGAGGGCGCGCGTATTCCCAGTCTCCCTCCGTCTCAGCCGGGAGCGACAGGAGCTGCGCGACCCGGCCATGTCGGTGGACTCTCAAGCCCAAAAAGCCGCGATTCACGCGGGGGTTTGGGCCTTCGCGGCGCTTAGCTTAGGGCTGTGCTGGCAGCCGAGCACCACATGCTGGCACGGCCGCAAACGCATTGCTCGGAGGGGTGCATCAGGAGTACGGGGTCCCAGCGAAATGGTCATGGGCTGTCAAATGTCCACGTCATGCCAAGTCGCCAAGCGTCAGCACCTTCGACTGGAGCTCTCAACGAGGTCGGTGCAGTCGGTGCAGTGCGATCCTGAGAAGGCGATAATTAAGAGAAGGCTCCGCCCGCCGGACAGCCCAGCTGACTATGTCGCACCGCAGGGAGTTGGTTCGGACTGATGCTGTCTCTTGGGTCTCTAGGTGGTGCCGCCCAGAATCTGCCAGCTATGGCTCCTCTGACGTCTGACATCTACCCACGGGCTAACTGCTACACGGCTATCTGAAAAAAAGAGGGGTCGGGGGCCTTTAAGAACAGCGGGTCAGGGCCCTGCATGTCGGAGTTCGCACTTCGCATCGCGCTTCACATGTGCGGCTGCCCAGGGCCCAGGGCACGGCGCCACGGCCGAATTCTGCGGCCAGCGCGGCGTCTTCCGTGCTCAGGCTCAGGTCCCGGCCTTGTCGGCCTGGCCTTGCGCATTGGAGCATTGCTCCTTCGCCTTCGCAGAGCTCAAAAGAGCCAAGGCCAAGATGCGCAGCCGCGCGGGCCGCGCCGCGCTCGCCTCGCTCACCACCACGAAACCAACGGAGCTGTCAGGCCGGTCACCACGAGCCTTGAACTTGAAGGGCTTGCACGCGCCCTGCGGAGCCTTCAAGCGCCCACTTAAGTGGGGCTCCAGCACACGGAGCCTGAGCCGCGGAGCGCCGCCACGGGACTCTGGCCGGCAAGCACCCGTCTCCTGGCTTTTCTGAGGCAGCAACAGCTTCGTCGGCAGTCTCTGTCGCCGCGATTGCAAGAGCGCAGCCGCCGCGGGCGGTGTGCCGCAGAGGCCAACACTTACCCTTCCAACTTATGGCCTTATGGTGCAGTGTAGAGGCGTTAAGTCGGGTCGAACGGGGCCGCATGCACAGCAGGCAATATTCAAAAGTGGAAGAGGCATCCCTGCAGGAAGCTCGACATCTGCCAGAAATGCTTCGGAGGGGAAAACACGACCACACGCACTGTGGCTTGGCACTCGAAAGAGAAACCGCTACTCGCAAACCTCTGAATGTCACTTCCAAAGCCTCACTGCGATTGCGACTGGAGACGGCAGCACTCCAGCTCACAAGAGAGGGCACAAGCGAGCTAGCAAGAGCTGGAGCTGAGAGGAGATTTTTTTCTCAATGCCGAGCCCGAGCCTGGGCGGGCCTGGGCGGGCCGGGGCGGGCGGATGACGGCGGACCCGGAGCGGACATGTGTTGTCAGTGTTGTCTTCTGAGTCAGCGCTCATGGATGCCTTCATTCATGACGACCGACGAGAACAAATCCAGGCCATGGTGTTTAAAAGAACCGTCTGTGAGTGCTCCTGCTCCTGAACGGTGAACGTGAACGTCACAAAGCACTCTCGTCGTAAGAGCTCTGTGCCTCTGCGCCCGCTTCGACGAAAATTCTCCATGTGGAGGGCAGTGGTGCAGGGGCGCACGGAGCAGCGCCTTGCGAGAATGAGGGACACGGAGTGCGCGAAGGGCTCCAAGGGCCGAGTCATGGCAGAGGCCGCTCTAAGCATGGACATGGACTCACAAAAACTCCGAGCCTACGAGCCGCGGCGAAGTCAGGTGCAATTTCAAGTGCATGAACACGAGGTAGCCTTATGGACTCCATGGCACTGGCAACCTTGAAGCTCGGGATCCTCACTTTTCTCGCTCAAGCTCAATGCGCATCGCCTGGGCCTGGGCTTCTTGGACCGTGAGCACCGGACAAGGAGACTTCTACGAACTTACGTCTGGATGTTCTGTTCTGGAGCCGGCCAAGGCACTTCATGGCGCAAACTGGAATGGTCTTCTACAGGGCCTCGAAGCGACCAAAAAACCCTTGGGCTCTCCATGCTGCACCTGCAGAAGCCGCACGCCGCCGCAGCTGCGACTGCGCTCGGGAGCTACCATGCTGATATCTGCAGCCCTATGCGACAATTACAATCGGATGTAATGTGCCAGCGAGGTAAGACAAGGGACATTGCAAGCTCATCACTGAAACGAAACATGATTACTGGCACGGGCATCGTGTTCTGCACTCAGGTGATTGGATTTGGGCCTTCACTGTCGATTTGCCATTGTTTGAGTGCGAGTCGAAACCAAGAACTCTTCTACAACTTGAGACGGTCTGCCAACGTCTCAGCCAATCATTTTTCCTCCAGCCTGAGATGCCTTCAACACATTGGCGGAAGGCCACGGAAATGGGACCCGTACAGCCTTGGCCGCTCACCAATCCACGAAAGGATCTTGTGAGGCAGAGACCGTGGGAGGAAGCTCCTTGGAGTCGGGGATGTCCTGGGCTGACGTGGTGAGCTGCCGCCAATTTTTCCCTGCCCGGCCCGGCCTCGTAGTTCGAGGTGTCGTTCTCGTCCTGTGACCAGAGAAGATCTCCCTTTCTCCCTCTCTTTCTTCCTCTCCCTTCCTTTCTCTCTGCTCGCTCCCTCTCTCTCTCCTCGCTCCCTCTGCTCGTTCTCGCTGTGTCCTTCATGTTGGGCTTGTAGGGTGCAGGGACCTCGAAGGTCTCGAGCTTGGAGAGCTCGTAGGACTCGAACCACTTGTGCTTCAAAATGTCCGCCGGGCCATCCTTCAAGTTCCCGAAGCGCTTGCTCAGGTCGGCCACCAGCAACTTCTTCACCAAACCCTGAGACACTACAAAACCAGCTAGTTAAGAGGGGTCCGGATCTCTCCCTCTCCCCTTCCTGCAATCCCCCGGCCTTCGCGTTCTTGTCGAAATACTTCGGGAAATACACCTTGCCGGCCAGGATTTTCTGGTAAATCCCCATTGGATCCTCGTCGCAGAAGGGGGGTTGGCCGCAAATCATCTCATAGATCAAGATGCCCAGTGTCCACCTGGCAGGCAAGGACCAGCATGCGCGTCTGCGGTCTAGGTTTCCAATCCACGGGGCCAATCCACGGGCTTGCCGTGGCCCTTGTTGAGCAAGACCTGGGACGGAGAAGCCGGCGACGGCTATTGTTCACTTGGGCTGGGCCCGAGTCG